TGAATTGTCTTTTCGTTGTGACGTCAGTGTGGACGTTGTGAGTGAGTTCACACCCCCCCCACACACACACACACACACCCCCCTCTTCCGCTGCTCTGTGGCCTCGCTGGTCGTCGTGCTGATGAGCCGAGGATTGTGGGATTGCTAACTCCATGTCTACACTGATAAATCTGAAAACACTGTTTAGATGTGCAACAGCGACACCTTGTGGACGTTAGGCTGCGATATTACATTTGTTCGTCACAGAAATAAAAAAACATGTTTTCACATTTATTCTGACACGTGTGGACATGGTCGGACGTGTGGCGTGTCACACGGCAGCGGACTGACGCTCTGGTTCTCTCTGCAGGACGACTGAAAATGACGGCCTGAGCGACCCAGAGGTGGCGCTGTGGGACGCCCGGTTCAGACTGGGGGGGTGTCGGCCAACACCCTGAGGATTTTATCATCGCGTCACCATTGGATTTCTTACCGCCCTCTACTGGTGGAAAGAGAAGGAGCAAAGACTGTTGGGAAGTTTCCATGACTCTTTATCGTTCAGCTGAGAACGCGGCCAAACGTTTCTCATTTCCGTGTCGACTTGCAGCGACACGACGAATGAGAAACTGAGAAACTGAAATCGACTCCATCTTTTCTCATCCTCCAAAAATCAGTATATGCTTTCTAATCACAGTATTTCTTTTATCGTTTCTTTGTAAAATTGCACTTTATAAATTTAGGTTATTTTCTATCCCACGGTTCCAGATGTGGTCGATTATAATATATGCAGAAAATGGTTATATATTTATGTTTGACTTGCTTTAATCTTTTTATCTGAGACTTTTTTGTTTTGGACGGAGGATGCAGGATGTGTGAAAGATTTGAGGTTAGTTTTAAAAAAAACGAAGATTTCTTGAATCTCAGATTAATCTCGTCTCTCTGAGGGACACCGTCCTCACGGTCCTCTCTCCAATCAGGGTACTCCACTGACGCCACGCTGTCCGTCTGGACGGGAGCAACACGAGCAAATCGTCACCTGTGTTCATGATTGTTTTTGATCTTCTCTTCATGTGGATGATTTTTACTTTGAAACGAAACTTCATCTTCCTTCAGCTCGTTGAAATCAAAGACTCGAATCTTCTCTTTCCTCGACCGTTTCTTCTCGGTGTGAACCCGCTGTCGTCTCGTCACCTCTGTAGAAAACAAACGTAGAGAACCGCAGGTGACCTCAGACTGAGCAGACGTGTCGCTGTCGAGCGGGTGCTGAGTTTGACGTGACGCAGGAGAACTGTTAGTTGTAGTGAACAGGAAACGCTTAGAAACGCAATGAGCTGCTGTGTGTCGTTGAGCTGATGATGAACACGTCTGCTTGCTTTGTCTCCGCTGTAGATTTCTACAGTTTGGATTTTGTATTCACTTTTTAATAAACTCTTCAAAACAAAGCGGCTCCAGCTCGTCCCTGGGAAACATCTGGAGGAACACGTCTTAGTTTGGGTTTCCATTCGTTCGGTGATGTTTTAGATGAGCGTGATGAAAAGAGTCGAGGCCCGATGAGAACCGCTTGAGGAGGTGAGTCATTAAAACACTAGAACAGCAGAGTGGAGTGCTGCAAAAAGTAATACAGAGAAAAAGAGCAAATTGTGTGTTGTCAAAATGATCAAAAGCAAAGAATTTAATAAAAATGCAAAAACGTTAAGAATCTTAAAGACACAAAAATAATTATAGAGTAAATCATAACGTGATAGTATGTCTTCAAAATGTGGTAATACATTATAAAAAACGCAAACGTCATTGTATGTTGAAGTCATGCGATGTCAGAAAAACATGAATAAATCATCAAATCAAACATCCTGTCATTAAATTTTGAAAAATTCTGTTGTACAAGTCGTAAAAACGCCCAAATTGTCTTTTAAGTTCAAGTAAAAAAAATAAAAACATGAAATACGTCATTTAGTAAGAAATACACAGAAACATCAAAGATTCAAAAGACTGTTTTACAAACTTTATTTAAATAACTATCGACAAATTACCATTAACAAAACGTATCTCAGCATAAAGACTAGCGTACACTTTGTTTCGTACGGGCAGAGCCAGGCTCGATGTGTTTTCTCATGTTTCTCGTCTCCGTGCTAAGATATGCTAACGACAGAAAACTCCTTTTAACATTATTGCATAAAATATTCTGTTTTGCGATTTTACTCAAAGTCAAATCAGTTTTCATTTTCCTGGACGAGAAACGTTTTGATAAATAATCCAGTCGCTCTGTGAAGTTTACCGCCTCTGATCGTTGAGTCGTCACAGATGAACCTTGTTTTCTCGAGTCATCGGCTCTGATCCGAACGTCCCCGTTCTCTGATTCTGAGAAAGTTAAAGATATTTCCTCTGAGACAGTTTGAGGACGACTGACGTCTTTAAGTAACACTTTCGTCGAAGCGTTTCTTCTGGAGCCGCTGCAGAGTTTGTGTCGTGTGTTGTGAGAACGAATCGGCTCCGTCCTGCAGCTGATCTCAGATGAGTTTGTGTGAACCCTTCGCTGCGGGTCGTTCTCAGAGTGAGTCGTCGAGCGGCGCCAGGAGCAGCTGCAGCTCGATGAAGGTGCTGCCGTGTCGCCCGACCTGAGTCGCCTTGTTCTTCACGATGTTGCTGAGGTTCTTCAGCTGCTTGCAGCACGCTCTGCACTTCTGGTGTCTGCGGCAACACAAAGGTCATCAGGTCACTTTACATGGATCAACACGCGAAAACAAAAAGCTGCAGACGTTAAAACAACAACTTTGTCTTGAAGACTAAATCCACACTTCTACGTTTTCATTTGAAAATCCCCTCTGATGCGTCTGCGTCATTACTCCAGAGATTTGGAAACACTGCCGGTCGTATTTTAGTTTGAAAACTCTGGACAGAAACGGAATGTTTGGAAACGATGACGTAGACACACGACCTCTGAGCCAAAACGCTCGGACGGACAGAGATCGATTCAGAAAGCAGCCGGACAGATGTAGTCTGAGAAGATGCTGATGTTTGTGCGTCGCTGAGCTGCAGTGATGTGTTATATGATGTCACCACTGATCCGATCTGTTCAAACTTGAATCTGGTTCATTAGATATTTAAACTGGTTTCTGATCGGCTGCTCCAGAGCAGCAGCAGATCGAAACGACTCACCGCTCCTCTCGTGTGATGTCGACTCCGACAGACGGCGTCGCCCTCAGCGTGTCTGAGATCAGCGTCCAGAAATGTTTCATGATGAGCTTCAGAGACGTGCAGCCAGTCTGAATGTAGCTGACACAGAGGATGGCGACGGGTCGGTTAGTGTCGTCATTAAAACCCGACATGTTACAGATTAAAGTCTGAATCTGACGGTGACAGAATCATTCAAACGTTTAGAATCAAGAGTCTCGTCTCTCACCTCTCGTATTTACTCTGCAGCAGTTTGTCGATCTGAGGAAGAACCGTCGTGCAAACATCCAGCTTCCACAAAGACCTGAGAGACGACCGTTAAAATCAATCAGCGCAGGAAACGACAGAAACAACATCAAATCATCAGCTCCTCTATCGTCACGGTCACAACTTCCTGTTTCTTTTATTCACATTTAAATCAATGGAACATGATCAAAATGATATTATGACGTAATAATCGATTAAAACCATGTTATTGATCAGTGTGTGTGTGTGACTCACGGTTGGAGGTTGAGAATGTTGAGGAGGTCCACGACGATGGACAAGTCGTTCATGGAGACAGCGGCGTCCATGGCGCTCTGCGAGGACATCCGGTTTAGTATACTGAAGGTGGAACTTTCTTAATCGATTGTTTTTATATACGTCACCTTGACGCCCTCTCGGTTCCACACGGCTCGGACCGTCTCCAGGTTCATGTTTCGTCTGCTCAGCATCACACACATGGTGTCGTGACCTTTTCTCATCTGAGACAGAACCTCGTCGTCACTCAGAGCTCCAGGTCTGTTGTTGGGTGACGTCTGAGGAACGTGGAGACATGTTGTTTATTTCTTCTTATTACTTCATCAAACTAAAATATGACA